TACCCCATGAAAAACGGAGCGGCAGCGGGCCGCTGGAGGTGCCCTACTAGTATGATCCCGTTTAAACTGTTAACTGCCATAAAATAAAAACTATAATAGCTAGAGCGGTCTTTTTTTAGCTGAAAGTTGAGACTCTCGCCTTTCAGCACATCTGTACTGTACAAGTCGATGATGCCATCATGTTGCGTTAAGTGTGTCTATTTCAGTAGAACTTTGACAAGTGGTGAGAAGGTGGCCAGGAGCTGGATGTTGTATTCAGTTAGCAAACGTTGTTATATTTACACTCCACGCAATTTGAAACAAAGTTGTAGGTGTAATGTTTTTTCGTGTGTGTGTGTGTGTGGGGGGGGGGGGGGGGGGCGTCACAGGGGGATCTCGCACAGGGCGCCATTTAGGCCAGCTCCGCCTCTGGTAACAAGAGACAATTTTGAATTGGTACTGCAGTACAACAAAGCACCACTATAAGCCATCACTACATGACAAACAGACGAGACGCAGCAGTCCCAAAACTCATTATTTACTATCATTAGGGTCAAATGTAGTAAATGTTATACAGTAAAATTAAAGTGACAATGTCTGCCAGACATCAAGCTACTGGCCTTATGCCTAGCAGCGGCGGCTTATAGTGGTGCTAGTTGTTACCATCCACTTACATTGTTTAAGCTAAGCTTAAGCTAACAGGATACTACCAAATTAGGGGAATGACAGGGTTATTTAAATAATGCTTTTTCTCACCTATCTAACTTAAGAGTGGAATATCCCTTTAAAGAGACAACATGTAGATTGTACCATTAATTTCTGGAAATATCCATTAAATGTTGTTGAAAATGAATAAAAATTGTTTAAAAATGTTTGCTGCTTTGTAACATATAACTATAAATCTGGTCCAAAATACATGTGAACCAGTCTAAGTATCTGGGCAATGCCCTATTAGACGCCATGTTTCCTTCTACTGGAGCCCATGAGGACAAAATTTGTAACAGTTACAAAACTTTTATCATCTTAAATGTTGTTGTTTTACACATTGACCTCCTCACTTGTTGCCAGTGATGAGCGAGAGTCTGATGAGCTCGTTATTTTGCTGACGTTTGCACTCTCCAGGGCTTTTTGACCCTAATGGGCATCTGTTGGCACAAAAATATTGCTTGCTTGCAACAATTTAGGTGTCTACTGCCCCCTATTGCCAGGAAAAATACACACTGTCACTTTAAAACTGGAAAATCCCTCTGTATCAGGTCCAAACTTCACCCGAGCCAAAGGACAGGTTCTTTCAGCAGCTCAGAGTAAGGCTCAAGTGTCTCTTATTGAGCATTTTATAAATTAGATGGAGGCACAAAACTCTAATTTGCGCCCACAATAAGCGACCAGTGTTTTTGTAAATCAGGTCCTTTTGTGTTTAGTTGTGAATATAAATGTTTGTCTGGAGAAAATAAACCACAAAAATAAGCCACTTTTTAGAATGGATAGTCGTTTCACGTTCTGTTAACCTAACAGAACAACATTTAACAGAACAACATGTTTTTAGTTTAATAGCTAATGATGAATGAATGTTATTTTTCTGGCCAAAATGAGACGTTTTTCTAAAATCAGAAAGCAGCAATCAGGCAACATTGTTTCCCACCTTGTTTTTTTCAGAGAAAAACAAAGCATTTAAAAACCCCACTATCCTGCTGCTTCCACCTAATCTCACCACCACTCGATTCAAAAATCTGATTCATCATGCAGCCGTACAGGTAATGTAGCATTAATCCGCCCTGACAATTAAATCCACTGACATGTGAACGCGTTAATTATCATTACCGAGCTCCAGCGGTGACAAATCGACGCCCCTGTGTTCTGTTGACATGTTGGTGAGATGAAGTGGAAATGTGTTGGGGATTCTTTTAGGTTGCTCAAATGATTAATATCTAATAATCTGCTGGGTGATGACACATTTTCGTATTTGAGTGTCTCATGTGTTCACAGGTGTTTTTCACAGTAAAGAGGAGGATCATAACCTTATTTATTCTTCAGCCTGTTTTTTTTTTGTTCATTAAATAATTGAATGTCTAATTCCTACAACCTTTACTCTTAATCACAAACATGTCTTAGTTTGCATGAAGTGCTGAATAAATGATGAATGAGAAGGGTGAAGAAGGATGATCTTTGTGTGATTGGCACATAGTGTTCTAAAAAGAACATGTGTTTAATGAATTCTCAAAATGCTGCTGGCAGGGTTCGGATGAGAGTACGGCTGAGTTCACACAGCAAGACAATTTTGCCACATTTTGTCCGGGTTCTCCATTTCTGATCACCTCAAGGACATGTCCAATTACTAAAATTGCTCTAAGGATTATCTTATCAGATATTCCTGCCATGTGTGGTGTGTTAACAGAGCTCTGGTCAGATCTGGAGTGCGTTGGACAGTTCTGCTCATAAGTCTTGGATATTTGACATGTTGTATTGTCTTGCTCTGATTACTTGGAGAAACAAGGGTGCTGCCTGCTGAATGTGATGTTTAGCCAATGAGAAACCAAGCTGGCAAAAGCATGCTGCATGCTCCTTCTCCGCCATTTTTGTTTATACCAAAGTCACATTTGATCTTTCGTGATATTCCCCAATTAATCTGGGAATCCGTGATGGAAACCGGTTTGTGCATTTATCCAATGTAGCTGTACACCACACACTGTACAACTAGGACAGTTTTATCCATGATTGTTTTTATCAGAATATTTTTGGCTCATCACAATTTAAAAGTTGTCTAACTATTTTAAATCCTGCCATGTAAACCAGGCTTTAGCAGGAGAGATCAGATTTCACCGGTTATAGCATTGCTGTCAGCAGTGTTCCGAACGTATTCATTGAGCGATCGTTTGTGAACTCTTTTGTTTTTGTTGTGAACGTGAACTGAACTTGTTCGTATTTTGCCTGACGAATGGGGTTTTTGAACATGTTCTTTTGATGTTCGAGCTCCAGATGTCCACGGAGCTAAAGCCTAGCTAAACATCTTGTTAACCATAGTTTATAAAAAATAGAACCCGCAAACGTGGCCACTATAGGCAGTAGCATTAGGTGCGGCGTGTACTCTTGCACGTGTATGCTGTGTAAAGGATGGACATAATGTTGTGTTCCTTTTACCTTGGAAAATATCCAAATGTACATAACATAGATTTTAGATGCACCCTTACAAGTTTTTCTTATGAAATAAACACGTTTCCACCACATATTGGTATTACAAGGAGCTGCTATATTAAATTGCATTGAATTAAGAAACATTATCTGACTTTGAGGTTGTTCCAGTTCATTATTTCTTCTTTGAAAGATGACATTTCTGAGTATGGAATTAACTGGAATGAACCGAACTGAATGAAACATTAGTCACAGACTCAAATTGATAATAGTTAACTAGTTTCTTATTAAAATTTGGGGCTGATTGTTTGTAAAACAACCTTTCCCAACACTGGCTTTCAGGACTTCCATACCTGTCATGTAGCTCTCTTGTCATATACAATAAAGTGACACTCACCAGCTCGCCGCTCAGTCATTGGTTCATTCAATCCATGCCACGAGTTTTGATCCATACTGATCTTCTCAACACCAGCTCTACCAGACTCAGTAAGTCTTTACCGTTTCCTCTCTGTAACACCGTCCTGCTCCTGTTAACTGTTAGCAGCGTATTGGTGCAACTAGACTAAACTGCAAGCCCAAACCTCGCGTTTCCATGTTTGGTTCCAGCCAGCACGCCAAACTCAAACCCACTGATCGTTTCACGCTCATCCTGACAATTACTTCATCAACTCTGTAAGATCCAGATTATGATTTTTTAACTTCTAACTTCTAAGGCTCCAAGAGATCAAGCTCATTCTTCTACTGTAGATCAGATGTTCCCAACAGAGCACCTGGCTCTCAGACTGTAGGTCTGGGTCCTATGGTTTTAAAATTAGAACAGGAGGCGGAGCTTTTTGTTCTCAGGCTCCTGTCTGGCGAAACCCGCTTCCAGTTTCCATCTATGAGGGAGAAACCTTGTCTAGTAAGAGTTCAGACTTTTATTTTATGGTGACTCTTGTTAGTTTGGTTATCCTAGCTCACCCCTTTAGTTTTGCTACTACAAGACTCCTGGAGGACATGTATTGTGCATGTTTGTATTTATTCTTGTTGTTACATTTGACTTTGTTTTCTGAGAAGACCACCCATCCTGGTTCTGGTTCTGATGGATTTTTCTTCCTGATTAAAAAGGGAGGTTTTGCCCTTTGAGCCATCCGGCTCAGGATGGAGGATTGTACTGAAGACATGGGTGACTTACTATTTGGTATTTTCTAATCATCATGAACAAAACAAGGTGCAGAAGTTATTTCCTAATTAATTCAGCATGTTTTCTATTTTTAAAACCCTCCTGTAGTCAAAAGGGCTCAAAGATGATCATGTTGTCCAGTAAATAATATTAGTTCTGGAGGCAGAGCAGCAGAGCTGCTGGTTGCCAGTTTGGACGATTGAATAATCCCCATCTGGTTCCCATCCGTTGCTGGAAGTTCCAGTAACCTTTTGTTTATCTTTTAAAACATGTTTTATGTAATAAAAAAAAATATATAACACATTTGTCAGCAAACACGTGACAAAGATGACCGTTTGGCAGGAGGATGATGACAGAGTCGGCCAAACAGTAAAAGTCTGGATGATGGGCAAACCCAAAGAAAAAAAAAACACATTATAGATTCATTTGGTTTGATTCTACAAACCCGAACATTTTGCATTAAATTTCAGAAAAACAAGATTGTGCACTAGTTCTCTGAACCATGTCTGTAATCACTTTGAATGTTGCTAAAAAAAAAGACCAAAATAGAAGACTCGTTTAAAAATATCTCCTCAGTTAGTCAGACTGAAGTCAGCAGTGAGCTAGTCCAGGTCCTGAGAGGAGCTAAAAGGGAAATTTTCAGAGTTTATGTCTGGATCTGCTGAAGGGCAGCAGTATAAATCTACAGGGTGTGTGTCAGGGAATGTGTGGATGGCAGAAAAGCACAGACCTTTACCGTTGGTGCCGTTGGGGATCTGAGAGGTGTTGATGCCCTTGGCCATCTCCTGGTTGGCGGTTTCCTTGGTGACCGCTGAGCCTTTAAGCTTACTCTTCGGGGTTTCTAGGGATTTTAGCTTCTTGGCGTGTTTGGTGCCCTTGTAGTGGGCCAAGGCCTGGCTCTGGGAAAGGAATGAATAAGCCATATTTAACCGACAAGAACAGATAAATGTGGATCTACTACAATAAATCTAAACATCATTAACAGTTCTGCGATCTTTAATTCAGAAAGAGTTTTTGTTCTTGGTGATTTTAAAATAAAAGTAAAACCTCAATTTTCTTTTATTTTTCAAGTAAATTTTCATGTCAAAATATACTTAAAATTGGAGGAAAAAAGCTAATTTTTCTATAACCATAAAAAGGTCAGATGCATAACAAGATAATGACAGAGGAGCGTTACCCAGTAGTCCAAAATAATAAAGATCCAAACTAAAAGGGAAACCAAATCCGGACCACTTAAACCGGTTTCAGGCACATTTAATCGCTGTAAAACCGTTGGATTTGTCCTGATCCCTGGAGATCTTAATGCCAATCATTGTGTTTTGTTCAGTGGAGAAAAACTGAAAAGGGATGAATGTAGCCCAATCATTATGGCTGCACTAAATAATATAATCAGGACATTTTTCTGGTTTTAAAATAAACGATTATCTTGTTGACTCACATTGACCTTGCTGCTGTTTGATTTGTTCCAGATAATACAGGGCTGCTGAGCTGCAGACTGCATCTGATTAAACTGATTTGGCTCTTGTTTAATCACATTTCACTTCAATCCACAGAAAAATAAAAATACAGCCACCAACATGGTCACAATGAGGACATACTAAAATAAATGTTACACTCTTTCTCTATTTTCTCTTGATGATATGGACTGTTCACAGGAATGGCATCTTTTAAACAAATAAAAGGACAGTATTAGGTCTGATTTTCTAAAGCATTTTAGCTTCAGTTCTTATCAAAAGAAACTTCTATTTAAAAGGGAAGGAAATTAGGAGGACCCATCCATCCATCTATTCAACCATTCATCCATCCATCCATCTATTCAATCATCCATCCATCCATCCATCCATTCAACCATCCATTAATCCATATATGCATCCAACCACCCATCCATCCACTCATCTATCCATCCATCCATTCTTCTGTCCATCCATCCATCTATCCACCCACTCATCCATCCATCCATCCATCCATCCATCCATTCAACCATCCATTCAACCATCCATCCATCCATCTATTCAACCATCCATCCACCCACCCATCCATCCACTCATCCATTCCTCCATCCATCCATCTATTCAACCATCCATCCATCCATCCACCCACCCATCCATTCTTCTGTCCATCCATCCACCCACCCACCAATCCAACCAACCATCTACCCACCCACCCACCAATTCATCCATCTATGCATCTATCCATCCATCCAGACACACACACGGATGCATCCACCCACACACACATCCATCCATTCATCCATCCATCCATCCATCCATCCACACACACATCCATCCATCCATCCATCCATCCACACACACATCCATCCATCCATCAGGATGGTCTCTTGCACCTGCTACTAATCATTGGGCTGATCATCATCAGAGGGTGTTGTGTTTATAAGGAGGCTGTCCTTTCTATCAGAGGTCCCTCCAGCTGATGATGCAGCTTCCAGGTCACCCTTGGCCAGTTTATCTTTATTTTATTAACCTTTATTTAATTTAAGGCCCCAGGTTTGCCTGATTAGGATGTGTGACATGGCTCACTGCTGTTCTATTTTGGCTCTGATTGGTGCAGTTTTGTTCTGTGTACTCCTGCTCCGCCCTGCCCTGTGTCATTCTGCTACAATTGAGAGTGTGCCTCAGCTGTATGTCTTCCTGATGAGCATGGTAATCTACCAGTGCCTGCTGCTGAACATGTACTACTCCGTTCACCCTCAACTCACTCCGGATCTACCCGGTTTGTTACAACTCCAGCTCCAGCATCAAACCATGTGTTGGGCTGCTGTCATCGGTCCGCCAGGACGTTCCAGTGATGCCAGTAATGAGGGACTGCAGCATATATAACCAGCAAGGCTAAAGGACCGGTAAATGCCGGGTGGAAAGGCTCAACACTTGAACGTGTGTTTGTGCGTGTGTATAGAAACATGTGTGAGGGGCAACATATGGTTCTATGTGATATTTGATTGTAATTTTGTCGTTTGTGACCTAACTTTTATTCCTCTGTTGCAGACTGAGAGCTGCAGGAAGATCTCTGGGTGGCGGGTCCTTTTTGTGTGTGTGCAGTGCCCGAGGGTTTTGTCACTCCTGAGTGCATGGGCTACAAGTGTCTGGAGTAACTTCAATTTTGTTAATTCTTCTTTTTTGGGATTCCGCCTTCCAGTCACTGACCAGTCCACATTGGTAAGCCTCAGCCTGGGTTTTAGTAGTAATTATATTTCAGTACCAGCAATTTTTATTGGTTTTAATATATATTTTAATGAGGTCTTGTTTTTATTTGTGACTGTGGCACAGGAGTTAAGTACTCACCTTGTAATCGTAAGGTCGCAGGTTCGAGCCCCGCTCAGTTTGTCGCTGTCATTGTGTCCTTGGGCAAGACACAACACCCCCATTGCATGCTGGTGGTGGTCAGAGGGACCGGTGGCGCCAGTGCTCGGCAGCCTCGCCTCTGTCAGTGCGCCCCAGGGCAGCTGTGGCTACATTGTAGCTCATCCCCACCAGAGTGTGAATGTGTGTGTGAATGGATTAATGACTGATTGTGTTGTAAAGCGCCTTGGGGGCGGGGGGTTCTAGGACTCTAGAAGGTGCTATATCAAATACAGGCCATTTAGCATTTACCAAATAGTAAAATTCATTTAGAAACCACACCTACTGCCTTCCTACAATATGAACCTATGTTTGCTTGTGTTGTTTCATCTCTGGTCCTTATTTTACAAAGTGGCCTTGTTGACAATCACATCCACATCCTAATAGTAGTGAAAACCCCTTCTCTCGCCACCCATCCATTCATCCTGACATGCATGTTTGAGAAACCCCATGCATGGAGAAAACATGCTAACACCACACAGAAAGGTGTGGATTTGAACCTGCAACCTTCCTTCTCCAGGGTAAAAGCATGCACCGTGCAGCCCAGAGGACGTAACACTGTAACTGAAAATCCTAATCTATCTACTTATACAATAACAGTTTTTCAGGACAGTCCAGTCTTATTATGAAAAGTACATTTTAAAGATATAAAGGAAATGAAGCCCAGATGTCAGCGATTATAGAGTCTATGTGACCCCTGGAGTTAGTTTCACAGTCTGATCACATAGAGCCACTAAGATTCACCTTTGCTACGGATTCATCACTATGGATTCATCCAGGCACACAAACAGGGGTCATATGCAGAGACTTTCAGCTGTCCTTGTTTATCGCCACACGTTTCCCAGCATTCTTTGCCTGTGGCAGGAAGTCAGGCATCAAGGAGGGATGCAACTGCCTCCTGGAATAAATTAGTCAGTTGTCCTCAGGTTCCCAGAACACAGTGGGAGACGGTTAAATTTATAGTCCAGAGCTAATAAATATTATTCTTGTTAGGGTTTATGCATTAGAATTTAAATATTGTGCCTTTTTTCCACTTTTATTAGTTATTTGAGATTGTTTTACTAAAACATTTGCTTCAGGCTTTTTGTTTTTTTGGTGCTCTGCTTCATTTTAGTAATATTGATCGTGAGCATTTGCGGGATGACTCGGGAAGGTGTTTGTGACAAGTTAATGAAATGAAACAAGACGTTTCATTATACTAGGACAGTGATGTTGCCCTAAATTCCCATCTCAGTCATTTTGTTGGCAAAGATTGTGAAATAGCTGGACTGTCTTAAGCAGTTTGCTTTATTCTCATGACCATTTTTGGATGAGGCATCACTTTTTTAAACAGAGTGCACGTCTTGTTTTGGCACAAAACTGTTCTCATTACCCAACATCCATCACCCTCCAGGTACTAAAGACAGAACTTACAGTTTGTCATCAGACTCCTGTAATACAAATGGGTGTTTAATGCTCTGTATTTCATCTTTCATTAGAAAGATGAAATGGAAGTGTTGTCTGAGATCCAAGTTTGGCGCCTGAAGGAGAGGATCGTCTTTTTTCCTTTCAGGTGAAAGGAAAAATGAAGGAAAATGTCAAACAAAGTGGTGTTACTGTAGGATCTGGAGCAGCCGGTGGAAACTGAGAGGTCAAAGTTTAATTCCCACCTGTCTCCATCCTTCTGTAAATTGGAGTAAAAAATTTATAGTCGTGCTTTTGAACTGAAGTCATCTTAGCTTCAGGCTGGAGAAGAAAATTCTTGGTGGGGTTGATGGACCAAAAGATTCCCTTTCCCATTCTAGCCTAGAAATCTAGACAGACGGAGACAAAGTTAAATGATTTTTACTCTGTATGTCAGTATAGCAGGCTGTGGCTTGGTGGGCCAATCACAATGCTCCATTAGTTTGGTGGGTGGGATGTTACTGCGAATGAATAAAACTAGGATTGGGCCGCTTGTTTAAAACTGCTTTGGCATCAACTTTGGATTGTTAAGACTTGGGCTTGTCTTAGAGTCAAGAGCAGATAGAGGTACTTAAATCCTTTATTTATAAAATGTATTTATTTGTATCTCAACAGTGAATGGCGAACTGCCCAGTTGACTGACATCCATAATGGTGAGTACGTCACATTGTTTGCTGTCTACTAATATGCAGAGACAGTTTGAAAGATAACAAAGTAGATCCCATCCCATAACCAAGATCCGTCTATGGGCCTTGGCCAGACTGTACCTTAACTGACCATCTACCCAAAGCATGCACACCTCAAAGTGCAAGACTCAGTTCCACCAGTAGGTGGAAGGAACTAATACAAAATAGAGATCTTGTTTTAAACATTAAAATCACATAAAAGGAGAACAAATAATACATTTGACTGCAGCAGCTGCAGTTATGATTACAGCTCTATTTAAACAACAGTGAGTGTGTGTGTGACTGAGGGGCGGGGGGACATCAGCATTGCTATCATTCTAGATAGCAGTTTCCTGTAGCAGTGGCACTATCCTCTAGCACCCTAAAAACAATAAATTCAGTGATGTTGATTGCCCAAAAATTCTTCAGTTCTCC